GCCTGCTTACAGATACTGCTGCCCTGTACTCCATGCAGCTCATCTGTGATCCTGAGCTCGTGTGCTCTGCCACAACCACTTCTGGTCTGTAATTCCCCACAATCAGGGAAGTTGGGATACAGGAAAGATGGTGGTACTGCATAAAGGCTTAAGGAGATGTGCAAGCTGCAGGGAGAGGAAAGAGTCAAGGTCATTTGACCTATGCCAGGCTTGAAAGTTGTGCTCATTTTTTCAGAAGTTAAATTAAAAAAATGAAAATGGGGAAATGAGTGATAGTGTGGAGCTGCATGGTCTTCCTTTGATTTGTGTGTTATTTTGTATTCAGATACCTGTTCAAAGACAGGCAGTGATGGAGGGCTGGGGAAGCAAGTTTCCAGTTACTCCAGGACATTCTGATGATAGATAGGACTTTTGGAAACCCTAATAACATGATATTTTATTTTTTACCTCAGTCTGTGTTTTTATTCCCTCTCCTCTGGCTTTTTATAAATTTCAAAGTTACACAAACACTTCCCAAGAATGCCCTTCCCTCTGCCTATATGCTGGCCTTTCACATCAACAGGGAGGTCTTGAAATCTGGTTGTGAAAACCCCACCTTATTTTGGCAATAACAGCCTTGCCTCCAGCACTACTCATTTTACATAGTGAAATAATTTTTTATTTGTTAACGAAATAGCTTGATTGGAATTGCTTCTTATTTAAAAGGTTTTCTACCTGTGTTGTACACCACTGAGATTTGTTTGCTGCAGTTTTCATAACTGGAAATGATGAGCTGTTCATGGTGTTTTGTGAGGCTCTTCTGTGTAACAAGTAAACATTGAATTACCTTTTGATATTCAAATTCACTTTAGTCCATTTGGGTTGTATATGTTTAGTGGTCAAATTTTTTGTGTTACGTGAATTAAGCAATGTCCTTTTTCTTCAAAGTTGAAAGTATTTGAAGGTGTAGAGGAGAGAAGCAAAGGTTTATTTCTTCTCTGACAAGGTTAAAGCCTAAAAGTAAGTCAGACAAAAAAACCCAAATCCTCACACTGGGTCTGTTTATTGAAATATTCAAATAGAATTCATTCTCTCTCTAGAGTAAACGATTTCTTTGCTGAAATTATGGTGGCATATGGGGAAGTAAGATGTATTACAATAAAACCGATATAAAACAGTTGAATTCAGAAATAGTGGCAAGAGATAATTTTAGTTCACTATGATTTAATTCAATTAAATGCAACACTGTTAACTGCAGACTAAGAAGAATTACTTGTGCCTGTGCAGGCATACATAACATTATTTATTCTCTGCTGCATCTCTCTTTGCAGAAGAAATTACAGCTGTAGAAAATGGGCGCTGGATGCTTTCATAGCACTGTAAAAGGCTATATACCTCACAGACCTCAATACAAATTTTACCTGAGCAAAGAGAAACGGCGAGATATGGTGTTAAAGAGTAGACCTGTTAAAACCCAGGATGCTGTGTTTACACAGTATGCTATCTTTGAACATCAGCAGTGTTGGTGCAGACTTGTGGACTGACTTACCAAATAGTGCCTCATAAGAAGTTGCCACCAGCATGGAAAATACTACTGCTGATTTTTTACTTTTTTTTTTGTAATTATTATTTGCTTTTGTTTTTTTTTTTTTTTCTCCCTCCTTTCAGAAGCAAAACAGTTCATGAAAACAAACTGGCCAGTTAGAGCTGCCTGTGCCTTGCCTGTCCCGAGCACTGCCCTGAGTCTCTTGAGAGAGAGCAATTACTGATTCCCTTCCTCCTCCTCTGACCCCTGAGCTGTTCCCTGCCCTGTACCTGAGCATGACAGCCCAAACCCACAGAGGCATGCAGGCACTCAAGGACCATGGATTTCAATTGGAGCAATGTGCCTAAATGTCTTTGTGCACCTATGCTGATGGGTTTGTGTTGGCAGTACCACAAATCCCTCCTCCCAGGCTTGTTACCGGGGAGGAGGCTAATGAAGGGCTGGCGGAACAGCACTGCACTTCTTCCCAGGCCTGCCTGACTCTGTGGCTGAGAAACAGTGAGCTGTGATGGAGATGCGTGTTCTCCGTGGTGATGGAAATAAGTTTATCATGAGGCTGTTGAGCAGACCTGTTTTCTTTTTGAAATTTTCTGCTTCAGCCTGGCTGTCCCTTCCTAAATAGCACTTCCTTCATATAAATCACACTTCTGGTGGTCGTCAGGATGGAAATGAAATCCCATAGGAGCCTGTGTGAGTGCTTGGCACATTGGCACGGAGTAACAGGTAGAGACTTAGCTGGGATTTTTGTGTAAATTCAACAGAAAGAATTTTATTACTTGTAGGTATGTTTTATTTGACTGCGCAAACAGATGTGTGATACTGTTCTACCTGGCCCAGACACCCAGTGTTCATGCATAAGGACTCCTAGAATGATAATCCTTACAACCTCAGTCTTTGAAGTACACAGGCATGTGACAAAACTCCTTGGTTTTGTTTTGTTGCTATGTGTTTGGATCATGGCACGACTTAAATACCCAGCTACTGTAACTGTAAGCAAAGGGATGTTTCCTGTCTGAAAGAGCGAGTTTGCAGTCTATGTCCAGTATGAGAGTTTATAGCAAATGAAGCATAACTGTGAGCAGGAAGCAAAGGAATAAACTTTTAATAGTCACAATGATTACCCTTACACCAACTTCTTGACCACTCTCTGTTTATAGGCAGAATTGCAAAAGAGCATATACTGTTGTGTTATTATTAAGAAAAGAGTAAGTCTGGGAAACAAGGGAGAAAACAAAAAGGATGTTGTGAGGTGGCAGTGCTTTTAGCTGTGTGTGCTTTGGGGTTGTTCAATAATGCAGATAACTGCCTTTGATCGTAGAATTGTAACCACTATCTTTTTTTGTAGCACAGAGGTTACTGTCTAGCACCCAGCTAGCCAAATGAAATGTATGGCTTGATTAAGGATCTCTTTTGTCAGTAATTTGTGCCTAATGTTTTTAGCTTTCCCACGGGCTGTTACAGAAAATGGTAAATCTGGTTTAAATGAAACCTGATACTGTTAATGGTTTAATAGCAGCTGCCACAGGGTTATGGCATTTTTCAACAGATGCTTCTGTTTCATTTTAAGCCTACACTAAGTCTTAGAATATATTTACATAATTAATATAAAGTACACCTACATAATAATGACAATATTTATAGTTTTAAAAGATTTCCTTAAATTATTTCCTCTCTATTGCTGTTATCTAAAACGAATATATAACTTGAAACAGGAAGGCATATTATTAGAAATATTAATTTATATTTATCTCTTAAAAAAATATAGAATGCAGCACAACTGTGAACATGTAGCATTTCCTAACATAGCAGTTATTATTATGGGCAAATTCCTTAGTTGCTTCTGAAAGAGAAGAAAAAATTTGGCTATACTCGAGTTGTGCTTATTGTCTTGCCTACTGTTCTATCAGGAGTATAAAAATAATACTTGTATTTAAAAATATCAGTCAAGAAAGAGCTACATTGAGGTATGTATTTATGTGCAGAAATATTTGAAGTAGTAAAGGTTTGTGGCTGGTTGTCAGCTGCAGAATGTTGTCCGATTTAGGAAATCTCTGCTAATATAAGAGAACTTTGGCATTTTACATTTTTAATAGTGGGTGATCAGTTTGGATGGATGTCTTCTATTTGGGGGTCTTATTCTGAGTTTCAAAAAATACTGAGGGTATATCCTACAGGACACTTAGACGATACCTGTGAATGTAATGGTCTTCTGCAGGTATATGCCAATTCACAGGGAGGAGAGAAGACAAAGATGTTCCTCTTTCTCTCTTAAGCACAACCTTCCCTTGCCTTGAAAGGCAAGGAAAGGCTGAGCAGGAGTTTGCAAGGCAAGCATACTAAGGCATTTGCTGCTATGAACTTTGAGGACTGAAATGCAAATAAAAAAATGTAGAAAAAATTCAAATAACAGAACAATATCTCTATTAGGGAAGCATCCAAGATAATTTTTTTTAAGAGATGAAGCAGTCCTAGCTCCCTATAATCCAGGAGAATGTGTAGGAGCAATGACAAAGGAGAAATTTTGGTGCTTGAGAGATGTAGCTGACGTACTTTTTCCCCCTGTCCCCAAGTGGCTACCCTTCAGAGCTGTTAGCCAGAGTATGATAGTAATCACCTTCCCTGTTCTAGTTTTTGTGAGATGTAGCTGACGTGCTTTTCCCCCCTGTTCCCAAGTGGCTACCTTTCAGAGCTGTTAGCTAGAGTATGATAGTAATCACCTTCCCTGTTCTAGTTTTTGTATGATTTTGTTTAATTTGACCTTTTGAATAGTCTTTGCCATGGGAACACAATTGCTCTAGGTCCCTAAAGCATTGGTAGCCCTCTTCCGCAACTCCAAGCTGCTTAGAAGAATATCTTTAGCTATCTTATGAAAAGTGTAAACAGTATTTATTGAGTTTATTACCTCAAAATTCTTTTTTACACTACCTTGAGTTTCACATACCTTGCAAGAAGAGTTTTCCTGCTTTAATCTGAAGGAGGAGGGTTATTGTGTACCAGTATTATTCCCAGAACTGGGTGGAGAAGAGTTTATGACTCAGTGAGGAGCAAGACTGCAAGTGTTCTCATTGGGTATTTGGATGAGCTGTCCGTGGCTGATACAAGAAGAGCCCAGTGAATTTCAGTAAGCCCTCACAGGGACACCTCAGTTTTCCAAATTGTATTGTTTCTCTGTCTTAAAGTTTTCTAGTGGCAATGTTTTTCCACCAGTGGCAAATGAAGACAGAAAGTGAACACTTTCATAAAGCCAAGGGCAAAAATGAAATCATAAAATTAACATGAAAAAAAACCCACAGCATTTTTTATCAGAGTGAAAAATTGTTCAAATACATTATTTTGTGGAAAGAGAAGAGCTGTTAATTGTTTTAGTGTGCAAAATTGATTCAAAGGTATGAAGTTTGTAGAGCTTTATATGATACAAGAAAGCTGGTTGTGATGTTTTTATGACTAATACATCTCTCTTTTTCTCCTTTGCTAGGTTCTACCACCTACAAAAGCTGTGAAGCCAGGCATGGTCCTCCTTTTTGAGCTCTTCCTTCTTCGTGGGACGCATACTTGGATTGATCGGGAAGTGGGATGGGGAGCTTTCCCTGTGTGTGACAACAATTTTAATACTTTGGAGGGAAAATTTAAGTGTCCCTTCCTTAGGGGCCATTACGACTCCAAAATTGACCGATTCAAGAAAATTGAAAATTTAATTTCTCAAGACTTGGATCACTGGTTATGCAATCTCTATTTCCAGGTTTGTATTTAGAAAAATTAGGCCTGTTCTTTTAGTAACTGTTCCTCAGAACAGATTCCACTTTCCTTCCAGAACAGATTCTACTTTCCTTCTGTCAGCCTTAAAATCAATACTGTCTTTCCAAGAAGCAGTTTATCAACCTACCCAATAGGTATATAAAGAAAATGAAATGCATCTCCAACTTTTACATGAAATTAGTGTTTTTTTTTTCAGCCAGATTTTAGTATTATTTCAAATATCAAAATATTATTTGGGGTGCTGAGTAATTGGATCAAAAAATTAGATCAAAAGTTGGAAAAAAACCCCAAAATGCAGTTTGAGCCTGCCACCAGCACATGTTAATTTTCTCCACAGATTTAGTAAATCTCAGAAGTACTTTTGCTTGGCTACAAAATAAAAATAATGTTTTTTATGATATTTTTGCATTTGATATTGTTTGTCTGGGATCCCCAGCTAATAAGCAAGGCTCTGTTGTGGTAGGAAACTTACTTAGAATTATGTCCAAAACCTATTCACGATGTGACATTTTTTGGATGTCTGGTGAAAATGGTTCTGAAATAAGAACTTCTTTTCAATGAAAGCATTCTCTGTTTCTGGACTTGGAAATTAAGGGCTTTATTGTAAGTGAAGTACATTTCCTCATTCAGAATCTTAATGAGACCTCAAACTTATATCTTTTTTATAGTCATGTCTGGCTCAGGAAAAAACACACCAAAATAGATGAACTTTGAAAGCATCTGAATTATAACATGTGGGTTTACTGAATAGAATGTGTAGTTATTATTTTTCTTGTAGTGACGATTTTCAGGTAATCTTAATTTTTGGGTCTACCGAGAATAAAAGAATGTGAAAATAGTTTCAGAATCATGAAGAGAAATAAGAATTTATATACATATATCAAAATATACCTAAGATATGCTAGGAAAGAGAATTTCCGAAATGACATTAGTAAAGCTATGGCATAAAAATGACAAGAGTCAAAATGTAGGGTAGTTGGGGTAGATCCCAAAGCTGCAAAATTAGTCTTCAAACAAAACATATAGGCTGGGATGATTTAAGGATCCAGGCTATATATATTTTCCCAGATGATTCTGAATTTGGATTGTGAGTCAAACCCATTTACTGGGATGTCTGCCTTTAGTCTGTAAGCATGGAGAAGACGTACTTGGGAAACAGATAAGAGACAAAACTTGAGTAAGTTAGTAGTAAGTTAGTAAACAGAGTAAAGAGAAACAAAAACTTCCTCAAATCCTCATAGAAGCATCTCAGGCTTCTAGGGTTCACAAATATTGTACAAACGAGCGTGTTCTGGTGTTGTGGAATACACAACTGCTTATTCTCATTTTTTTTTTTTCTTTTGGTAATAGATAATTAAACTACCACAGGATTCAGATGAGCGAAGTAAGTGTGGTATGCATCTTAATCTCCCGCCTGAACATGTTATGTATTCAAGCACTGCTGAAAAGAATGGTGTCTCAGAGAATGTTGAACAGCCTGGACTGCAAGGTGATGGATTCAAACTTTCATGTTTTTATCCAGGCTTTCATTGGGGCAACCCATAGTTTCATTCCAGTGTTGGCTTGTCGTTATTGTCTTGTTAAACTAGATTTTCCTCATTCACATATTGGTCCAATATGTATTATAGCAGGAATATTGTGATTTTTTTTTTTTTTAATTAAGATTGCTTAACTTCATTTTCAGTTGTGAGCAATTTAAACCAGCCTCATTGCTGAGGATGAAACTTTCTGTTCTGGCCTCTGTTTGAGACTAAATAATGCTTGGAAAGTCATAGCAGTAACAATTCAGCTGCTTATGACACCAAACTTACATGAAGAAAAAAAAAAAAAAAGAAAAGAGATACTTTTTTTGTCTAATTATTTCTTGAAGAACTCTAGCATTCCCTGGGCTACAGCTGGGACTTCAAATTTGTCAGGAAGGTAGTTCTGGCATCAGCGGTATGCCTTATTGTTACTCCTATGAAATCCCATTAAGATTCAATCAAGTGGTAACCCATAGGAAACACAAATTATTATTTTGGTTATCTGCAGCAGACCTCACAGAAGCTTTCTTAAAAACACCATGGAATGTTACTTGTAGACTGAGCATCCTCCCTGGCCTCTGTGAGTCTCATGCTGTAGCTACGCTGAAGACATAATTGACTATATTGCAATGGACTCATAAATTGCTCCTCTTCTGTTAGAAATCCAAGAATGAGAATGGCAGGACATTGCTATTTGTTTTTCTTTTTTATAATGTGGGATTTGACTTCCATGGATAAAAATAATTCTTTGTCATATACAGACATTTCTATATTCCCTCTTGTTTAATGAACTGAAGGATGCAGCCAACACACAGGTTGTAGTGTTTGTGTGAAACTTATTTGCAGATCTGAAATGGAGGTTTAGCTCTTCAGGCATTTGAGAACAGCAGCAGTGATGCATTGTAGAAGGCATGGGAGGAGAAAGACTAGGATACTGGAAAAAAAGAAAGAGAGCGGATAAACAATAATCATTTAGCATAGAGAATGGGCAGCTCAGGTTGGAAGCATAACATGAAAAGAGGCCAGTAAAAGTATTTTTCAGACAGTAAGTATTGATTTAGGATATAGAGAAAATGAGATTTGCCTTATGATGCTTTTAGGCTTAGTAGTAACTGCACTGTGATCTAAAGGCTTTTATATTACCACCCTGATACCAGCAGCGTGGAAGTGTAAACATACGTTGTACTGAGGAGCAAGGTCATTTTTGTTGCCATATATCTTCTACATGTCTGCTATGGTGCACTGAGATGCAGCACAAAGTCATGAAGAGCAGATCCAAAAAGTGGAGCTGCAGACAATTTTTCAACATTCAACAAAATTTTTCTTCTTCTTCTTCATAACAGAAGAGTTATGGACAAGTTCTTAATAAATCAAACTTGTCCTTACCATTGTTTGGTCCTACGATCAGTCTTCACATGCATGCAGAAGCACATGTATACAGAGAGGATGCAATTTAATAGGTCACAATTCTGGAAACACATGGGAAAAACTCATGATACGCAGTTTGAGAAGTCCAGAAGATGTATTTCTGAGAACTGAGTAAGAACATTAGTATATATTGTATTTTGTGTGCAGACCTCTGAAATAAGCTAATAAGCTGATCATGGAATATCTGCAATTTCCATGCCAAACAGATTTGCACTAACAAAATTTTAAGGAGTAATTTTTTATATTGTTTATATTTATTTATTTTTCTTGGAACCTTCTTTAAAGGTATTATTAGCTGCTAATATCCCCCATGGGTTTGTTTTTTAATGTGTCTATGCAGTCCTACAGTATGCTGTTTCTGCTGGTGATATGTTGCTAAGAGATTTAATAATGGGTAAACAAACACAACATGTGGTAATCCATTTCAAATTAAAAGTTTATTAAATGCTAGCTTGATGACTTTCTGGCTATTTACAATTAAAGGAGCAAACCTTAGAGAACTGGAGATCACATGGTGAAAATCACAACTTCCAACATTTCCAACAGAAAAATGTGTTTATGATCTGTGGCAAGCTGTCACACATTGATATGCTCTATAAATACTATATTATATCTGTTAAACCACCAAAAGTGTGTGGGGAAAAGCTCTGTTAAAATTACATTAAAGTTGAGACACAAACCAGAGAAAGCAAGAACACGCTAAATGAAGACTAGTGTTCTGTAACTCACTCTACTGCAGTAGTCTAAATAGTGAATGATCTTACATATCGATGCTGTATATGGTACTGCAACATATAAGAAAATAGAGCAGGTTAGGAGATAGTATTTTAATCTTCACTTCAAATTTGTCTTTGTTTTAGAAGTTTAAGACAGAACCTTCATATTATTTCCATTAACTCCAGGCTGCATTATTCTTTTAAACCACAACACTGTGTTGGGCTAGGTATGGCTCTTCCCTGTTGCACAGAATCTTTCTTCCAGAGTACAGTGCAGGGGAATACAACCCAATACCTCCCATTCTACCTGCTTTGTAGATCACGGATGCACAGTATCAGATCTAGCATATCTCTTAGTCCAAATAGTATCTTCTCTCTGTTCTTTTGAAGTGGTATTCCATGAGAGATTCATGGAAAAAGACAGCTTCTGCTTTCATGACCACCATCCTTTACTTTTTTTGAGAAAAGCCTCTGTGGCTGTTCTGTTGCCCCATAAAGGGATCAACAGTCCCTGTCAATGAATAAATGACATTTTTTTTTCTGTGGAATTCATTAGCCTTTGTGTGGAAGGTAACAACTTTAACAGAATAAGTATAGGTAGGAAGATTTGATTAAAAAAACCAGAAATGTTGCCTTGATAGGCTTGGATTTAAACCAACCCAGTCTTCTAAATGCATGAAAACTTCAGAAAAGTGTGGCTGTCCATAAATATACAAAGTCTTGAATAGAACTCTTTTTCTCACTGTGACATCCAAAGCAAGATTCCCTTTGACTTCAGTGTCCATAGAAGAGGGAATTCACGTGTGCAAAATGTCAGTGTAACTCTGTAACTGCTCTTTCATCCTCAGAAAAGTAGCTGAACATCACTCCTATATTTGTTATCCAGTTCAAACACTTTTAGGTCAAAGTCAGGCTCATTTGGGAAGCTTTACTATGCACTTGTTGGGAACATTCTTCTAAATACTCGCTTTTCTGTCTGGGCTGTTACTCTGACAAATACCTATTTGTGCCCATCATAAATGGTGATCAAATAAAATAGGTAAGTGCAAAACCGTATTATATATACTTATATATGTATTGTACTTTGACGCTTGGTAGCTTGTAGAACCAGAGGAAAACCTTTCCCATTCTAGTAACTTACACCTCTTTATGTTGGCCAGTTTGAAGTCCTGAAGTTATGGTGATCACTGTACTAGCGTATAATGACATGCAGTCAAGACCTAAAAAGTTCTCCTCCCTTACAAGGGAGAAGGTAGAAGAGTTGCTGAGGGTGATCAAGATACTGAAAAAATTATTTTGTGCCAAACTGTGTGCAGGTTTTGGTCAAATTACAGCAGAAATCAATACCTATATTTAAATAGACATGACCAATTGTACATCTTTTTACCCACAAGTTATCCCAAGCATGACAGAGTGAAATAAAGATGGGAGTTTTTCTCAGCCTGGCTCTGTTGGAGGAGAGGTGTTATCAGCCAAGGTTTTGAAACAAAATGTTCAAAGGTAGCCAGGCTAGTTTGGCCTCAGCAGCAGGGTGATCTTTGTATAGTAGAGGTATAACACAGGCTGTATTTTCCTGTGTACAGTATTGTATTATCATGACTACATTGCTTTCAGTGTCTGGGATAGCAGAGATGTTTGTTATTACTGCTTTGCTGGGGAGATTTGTCACATGGAAAAACTCCCACAGCCTCAACTGTCTTTGGACTAAACACCTGCATACAGATTTTCTGTGCTGTAACATTTTCTTTCCAGAAAGTCTGCTTGTCCCCTAATTCTCCCTGTTCTGCTGTACTTTTGGAAGAGTAAAGAAAAAGGCAACTCAGCTGTTTGAGAATGGATTTAAGGACACTTATTTTCTTACAATGAACAAATAGCTTATTTTTTTTCTTAAACTCATTTTTTTCCCTCCCCTACAAGATTTGCTGTCTAACAGCAGCACGTGACTTATGTGCTGCATGCATCAACCAGACAAAAAGTTAGAAGAGCTGAAATGTTTTCAATTCCCAAATGATGAGTTTGTAATAGAAATAAATATTATACAGAAGAATAATTTTCAGGTATACAGTTTATCTGGTTAAGGTACAATTACGAGCCTTTTTTTAGTCTGTTTTCTTTCTATCTGCCTGCCTGGCTGTTAAAATAAGGTTGGTTTGTACCACGTGTCTTTGGCAGTCCTTGAAACTTGCTGAAGTTGTAAAGCTTTAAACAGTTGTGCAGGTCTTTAATGTAAATTAGTTTTGACAGGACTGCTAGGCAAAGACCTGGCCCATCCCATCGTGATGCTAGCCGACAACCCCTTACTGCTCCTGGAGCAAGGAAACATGTGGAAGGAATTGTTCTTTTACATTTCACAGCTTGTCATTTCCTCTGCAGGGCAACCTCTGACCTCCTTGAAAGATCCTGACACCCATAAGGGAAGTATTCCCACTGTTGTAAAGGAAGTGGAAAAGCAGTTTAATGCTGTGAAAGGAGGAGAAACGTGTGTGCTAGAAGAAGCAGGGAGGAAAAGAGAAGAGCTTAAAAAGCTTCCAGCAGGTTAGGACTTTTATTGTGTTATTTAATTTACTCAAAGTTTGCAAATAGATCTGCTTGGCATGTGTGTAAACACCCCCCTCTCCTTTCCCCCTCACCCTGTGGTATCATCTCATCATTATTTCTCTAAGCAAAGGAAGCGATGGAATAGTTTAAATCAATTGTGAGGGATCAAAAGCAGCTTAGGCGAAAAGGTACAGAAGTGGTAGGCTCTCCTGTCTAAAAAGTATTTGTAGGCCAAATGTGTTAGTAATTACAAGGTGTGTGTGGAGTTCACTGACAGCATTAGATTATGGCTGGTGTTTCCGTGACATTTTTACATCCTTTCATTTTATTTGGTCATTTATATCCATAGATCACAACATGTTGCTGTTAGGTGCTTGGGAAGTATATTTTTCTTACTGGAACATGTTAATAGCAATATCCTTTGTTAATTGTGCTGAGCTAAATCGTGTAAGAATGCCTGTCTGTATTAGCATCAGTTAACATTTACTTTTGAGATGTGGGGTTTCTTTTGAAGGCAAAGCCTTACAAGTTGCACTGTCTTGATTTTTTTTTTTTTTTTTTTTTTTTTTTGTTTGTTTGTTTGTTTGTTTTTTGAAGTACTGAGTAAAATGTATGGGTCTGAGAACGGGGTAACACAACTTTTACAACCTGCCCTAAACTCAGATACCACCACTGATGGCCAGAGGCAGATTTACTATGGGACAGTGATCTGAAGGGACCAAGGTTATAGACAGCCACCACCACCTAGTAACCTGGGTAGTGAATCATGCTTTCTGTCTCAGGATAGAAAAATGGCTATGCAGGCACAGTAATTGCTGCTGCCTGTGCTCCCCTTTGTGCTGAGGCAGTAGAGAGAGGGCACTGGGAGCAGATCTGAAATCTACAGTTGTGCCCATTGCTTGTGACATTGCCACCCACCACAAACAAGGTGAGGGGTAGCTTTCATTTTAGGGAGAGGACAGTTCCCACCTCTTATCTGTGTAAACAGTAGTTTTTAGTTGTTTTTGAGTCTGCGGACTTCCCAAAATCCTGCGGTAAAACCTGTGGATGTTGATGAGAATTCAATTGATATGCTAGCTTTCCTTTTATGGCAACCCATGAAATGTAGCTGTCCTTTTGAAGCTGTCCTCATCTGTTGACTGCCAAGAAGGCTAGGACTATGCATCTGCTCTTATAGGTAAATTTGTTGACTTTCTCATGTTGAGCAGGCACAAATATAGGTAGGAGCTATTATATCATTACTTACTCAGGATTCGTAAACACTAAATATTGTTGCTGAATATCATAGATGTGTAAGAAGTAGAATACAGAGCTGGCATCAATTTTTGTTAAATGGTGTTGGTGGCAAAAGTTTAAGCATGTTACAGAAAAAAGTAATAAATTTTTTCCTTCTTTCAAGGGTTCTCAATATACCTCCAAATAAGATCAACACTTCATTAACACGTCTTTTCTAAATATTGGTCCTCCCAAGAATGTAATCACAGCCTAGCTTAGAAATGCTTTTTTTCAACTTTGACCTTAGTGGAATCTACTTTGAAGTCCATTTAGTTCATTTGCCCAAGATTAGTTGTGCAAAGCATCTTAGAATACTCAAGGTATTTAAAACATGAGTGACCTGTATGGACAAAGTTTTTTTAAGTAACATTTAACTGTATTTGCCATTTGCTTTTGGCTGCTTTTATTTTTTTTTGCCGATTTCTTTTCCTTGCCAACATTTCCATGCTTCCTCCTTCAGAATGTATGACTCAAAACCTAATTATTAGTTGTGCAGGTAGACATCTACTTCTTCTCCCCTTTCTCCCTTTACCCCTATTACTGTTGCTTATCTAGGTCTAACTACTGTGTTGAATTTTTATTCAAATCAGTTAGGTGGAGTTTGGCAGAGATCCAATGCCAAGCAAAGCATTTAGAGCCCACATTTTCAATTCAAGAGGGTCTCTTACAAATACCCTGAAGCAATGCAGTTATGCAAGTGGCCTGATTTTGAAAGTTACCGAATTACTGCAGTATCAAAGCAAAGTGAGATTCAAAAGGCATTGTATTACATCATCAGAGGATCTGACTCAATATATTCTAAGAGATAATATTATAATCTAGTGAGGATTTTAAAAACGGATCTAGTATAATAGGGAGTCTACCTGGACTACAAGCAGAGTTCCAAAAGCATTGATGGATTTCAATTAAGTGAAAAATGGTTTTGCTTATCTTAATTCTTGGGACAACAGACTTTTTTTTTATGAACTCAATTTCTGGTACTTGCTAAATCTATTACATGATAATTTAATGCAAAACTGTGGTTTCAAAAGGCATGTCACTAAAGCACAGATTTTCTGTGATGGAACACTGTCAGTAATGTAACCACTAAACTCTAACTCAATATATGCACTCAGAACTAAGGGGGGAAAAAAAGCTTTGTCTTAAAATCCCCTGATAATTTCTGCAAAACCATGTATAAACTACAATTTATACTGTATTTGATGTTTAATTTGGAGCTTCAACAGTGCATGCATTTTCATCCCCACCAATGCTCATCCCAGCAGGCAGCTGCCCCCCAGCCTTCCTCTCATATGAAGCCTGGTTTCTTTCTTCAAAGCCCCCAGTTATGCATGTTCCATAGTAAAAACCCTGGAAACATGTAAAATATTTCTCATAAATTTTGCTAGTCAGCCTGTTAGAAGCAGCTTGCATTCTGCTCATTTTTGGTGTTTGACGGCACTTCTGCTGTTCTTTCAACCCTCTTCTCTGTCATCTTTCTATGGCACACCCAGGAAAAATTTTTAGTCCCTGATTTTCAAACTTTACAGCTCAGAAGGATACTTTTGTTCAATGTCTGTCTTCTAAAATAAACTGCATATTTAAATTTAGATATTAAATATTTATCATATTTAAGAGCTCTAATTAAAAACCTCTCCACATCTGTGGAAAAATGTTGGGAAGTGAATTGTGTCCTTTCATAGCATAAAAATCCTATTTCTGTCTGAAAAAAATCTTCAAAATAACACCTAAGCAAAGATGGCATCAGGCTGAGGAGTTAGTACACTATTAGATAACACTCAGAAGTTTATTCAGAACATATTAAGATGTCCCATCCATATCAAAATACCAGACACAAGAGACAGCATTCTAATTTTATCATTACCTTTGGAGAGACATTATTTCATTTCTTGAAACATGCTTGTGTAAGTGGGAAAGTTTTGTTGAGAGGATTACATTTATGCTCACAGCCACTTCTGAAGCAATTTCATGAAAACTGGTAAGCCTTCCTTTCAGTATTCTCATTATACTACAATGAGGTGGTTCTCCTTCTGACATGTTGTTTGCTTCTACATAACAGTTGTATGCAGATGCAAAAATAACTACCTAAACAAAAAAAAAAACAAAACAACCCAAAGCTATTCTCACTGGTAGTTCCTCATGGGTGCCACTTTAAAGGGAACAAAGTGATGTTTTAAGATGAAGACTGCTTGCCCTTCACTAACTACAGGTTAGAGCCTCAAAGGCAGAACCTCAGATGGCTGAACCTCTTCTTTCTTCGCTGGTCTTTTCTTCCTCTGTGCAGGACTGTGTAAAAGACTGGGCTGAGTCTTGCAGATAGGATTAAACTCAGCTCCTGCTTACATTCGTGTAATCCAAACTCTTCTCTTTGGGATTTACCATGCTGTTTGATTTTCCATGTCAAAATCTCACAATTTCACAACATTAGTTCTATATGCAGCCTCCAAAAGTTTCACATCATGGAGAATCTCTTTCCTATCCCCTCTAATTCCAGTTCAAAAAGGGTGTATCTACATTAGCATTTAGGCTTCTAGGGCACTTTGGAAGTGAAAACCCTACCCCAGTTGCTGATCTCTGACTCTCATTGAAGAGTGATCTCAGAGAGCAAGCACTGGACTTTAGGATGAAGCTGAGAAAGTGGATGTGCTTTAGGTGTGTGTTAGGTATTAATGGGCCATCAACTCCCAGAGCTAGTCTGACATGAACTCTTCAACGCACAGTGGGGTCCTCACCGTTTCATGGTGTCCTCTGAATCACTGGTTTAATTCTACAGATGCAGTCTTGGTGTACCACAGTATTTGTTACAGAAGACACAACCAAAAGGGATAATTTCCAGACTGAACTTGGAAGAAAAAAAAAAGGCTGCATTATAGTCTATAAGGTTTAAGAAGCAATAAGGCACTCTTCATTTTTAAAGGTCATGCTACTCTCAGCTATTGTCCCAAGAAGGCTGAAGCTGAGAAAAGTAATGGAGTAGCATTAACATTTTATCTTCCAGCCTCTTTCCACCTCGTTTTAAAAATGTAGGTCCCACCTGAGCTCACGGTCTTGGTACGGGTGACACTTTGTATTCCATATTAAGTGTAAGCTGTGTGCAGCATCTAAAGTGTTTTGTTGGGACTTAATATCACCAAGAAATGAGACAGTTCTCGGTATTATCAGGGTCTGGAAACAAACTTTGTCTCACCATACTTACCCAAATCCAGGCATTGTGCTGTTTTTTATGCCCATTCCACAATGGTGGGAAAAAAGGCCACCCATTGTTTTTCTTATACAAATGTACAACATTAAAACTGTTCTGCTGGACTTCTTATTAATGCCTCATCACAGATTTATAACATTGGAATAAGAATAGTATTGTCTTTTCCAGGCCCTGGTATATCTGCATTTTCCTGCTCTTATGCATGTGTTTGTTGATTTCAAATAAACCTATTAACAGAGAGTTTACACCTGCCATTGTACCTTTATCATAGCTATGATACCTGGTTTTGATCACTCTTTCTTGGTATTATTTTCTCCTCCTCAAGTCGTTCATTTTTATCATGAATGGTATTATGTTCCCCTGTCAGGGACAAAATGTATTTTCAGTCAATTTACTAAAATAGTCACTGCTAAGTGCTATATCTGGACAAAGTTGACACCTTTGACATTTTCTAAAATGGCAAAACTAACTGTATTTAAGGTATGATTTATGGGCACTGCATGTCAAAGGAATTTCTGTGTTATTACAGTTTCTGATGCAGCCATCCCAACTCCAACAAATTCCTGATAGTGCAGCTAATTAATGCTTTATTAGTTTTCTGTGGTCAATTATAACAAGTTATAAAAACGTAAAATGGAATTTAATAATAAAGAACTGTGTGAGTCTTGTTTCTTTCTCAGAACTGCTTTGTTTTGTGCATGTGGAAGAAACAATTTCTACATAGCTCAGTTTTATAAGACACGTTTTCCCCCACTAAGAGCAACTCCCATGATTAAAAAGTAGACTGGAGTCTTTAAATGTCTTTCTGATTGCTGGCCTCTATTAAAAAGTTCTTAAAATAATAGATAGGTTTAATTCCTCAAGCCAAAGAAAAATTATATCATCTAAGTATTTTCCATATTTATTATATTGATGAGACTTGGCTATAGAGAAAAAAAAAAAGAAAGCAAAATCTCTTGTATTGCAAGTTTTAAATGTACCAGGCTAAGGTTTACTTAATTAGAACCTCCAGGCAATAAAGGAGCCCTTTTTTAAATTCTGTGAATCTTAATATGCTAAATAATGCAAAGCTTCAGCTCTTCAAGCATGAGACACACATCTGGCAGCTTAACATTTAAATTACAGAAAAAAACCCCACTTCAGTAGTAATTTTCATGAAGAAAAGAATGGGAAATGTATTACAACTAAATTTAATTTCTTCTTAGATTTTTCATCCTATCTAATTGCAAGCATTTCCCATCTTCTCCTTTATTTATTTATTTTCATACAGTTTTTTTCTGTACTTTTTATTGATCTTTAATTTGAGCAGCTTCTTACTGTTACAGTCATTGAAGAATTACATTGTTTTTACTTAGCAAAAATTGTTCAGAGAAATCTATGAGGAATTAAAGTAATGAGCTCACTGGTATAGAAAGGAAAGAGCATTCAGAGCCTTACAAATAAAATATAAAAGGAGCATGTCATGATTAAATAACAAACTTGAGCTTCTTCTCCCACCCATTTCTTAAATGTAGAATATCATTGTTTTCTTTATTCTTCTTATTGTGGTGTTTTTTTTGGCCAAATTAGTTACTGCCTTATTCATTTGTGTCCAAAAACATTGTCAGTCTTCATTACTTCAGCAAAGCTATTTGGCAACCCATTTCAGTGAGCCAAAATAAAAAAAAAAAGAAAAAAAGTTAAACAACAAAGAAAACCACAGTAACCATCTTTGCAAAGGTATATTTATATTTTAATAATGTATTTATGGGTTCATACATGTATCGCATATATGGAATACGTGGAGACAATTTTATGTGTTTATATTACTTGTGCACATGTGACATACCCAGCAACTGTGTTTTAGGAGTTTCACTGATCTCAGTAGACCTCTTCTTTCACCCCAGATGTAAATACTTGTAAATACCTCATCCACTGTGAATGCTCAGCATATATACGCCCATATGTGTGTGTATATATAGAAGGTAAGACATAGATATTCATGCATATATATATGCAAACACACAGGCTCAAAGCTGTGACATTGTGTTTGTTTATATTGTATGTCTACAAGTACAACATCTAAGAGCAGCTCCTTCCTGTAATGCGATTTTAAGTACACTTCACTGTCTTCTGCTGACGGGAAGCGGAAGTAACTGGAAAAAAATAAAGTGACATAATCATTAAGTATATTTCTGACTTATCCTCCACATGTAGTGCATTAAGAAGTGTAATACAAACCTTTATTTTTATCACACCACTGCTTCTTCTGATGTGGGACTACATTTTTGTTCACTCGGCACGTCACTGCTTTGCAGAACTTTGAGGGATGCCCTACTTGAGTAAACATTGCTTAGAGAACTGAGTATTTTGGAAACTTGTGCCTCATTCTCAACCCACAGCCATGGCCCTACAAGAAAACAAACTTTCTCTTCTTTTCCAGAGAACAGATCCTGAGGTGGTGAACATAATCTTCACTGACATTCTTCTTATTTCTCTTATTTCTTTTTTTCTACTTCCCGCACATACACTTCATGTCTATGCAATTGTAATTTCCAACACCACAGTATATGAAGTTTTCTCTGCATTTATAATCCTAACATTTCTGGAAGGTAGGAGAGAACTAACCATCTATTTAGAACTACAATGGAGGGGAAAAAATTATCTTCCTGGAGTCATGCAGGATCTTGGTGGAAGAGGGAACAAAATCTAGCTCCTTCCTTTCCAGAACTTTATCTTATGTACCAATATAAAAATGTTTTTTTTGTATTTTCTTACAGAGAATTATTTTTACCAAGATTGCCATGGCTGTGCAGACAAGTTTTGCGTGAGGGAAGGCCAAGCAGGACATCACAAGGTACTGTACTTGATCTGAACCTCACTTTTTAAAATGTTTGGAGCTTCTACCAAGGCTATTCAGGAATGATTTGGGGGCTTGCTTCTTGTTGTTGTGTTTCTTTATCACTGTGTATTTTGTTATGGCTATCATAAGGCAGCAAATGGCCAAGGAGTATTGCTGTCTCCTGCATAGATCTATAGAAAGCTAATCTCTGCAGCAAAGGAATTTCAAAGGAGTAATAGGAAAGACCATCCAGTAATCAGACAACAGCAGCTAGATCAAGGCTGTGCTGCAGGATGATATTATTTCAGTAATGGTCAAACACAAGATAGATTTCCTATGCATCTATAACCAAGCTTTCATGCCCTTGTGCAGAAGACCCCTACATTCAGATATCTTCACTATCCTTATCTGTAGCATCAAGGACATCTGTAGTCAAGGACATAATTAGTTTGTGAACAAATATGGTGTCATCAGTACAAGTTACCATGAAATCACATCTGTATCACATCAACACTGTCTGGGTGAAATACTACTGATGCTTTTCAATATAATATAAATCCTGAGAACTAAGACACACACACTGTATGCCTGAGAATTGCCTCTACCTGCATTATCTGTTCTAAATTAGATATTTTCCAGTGAAGGATGCAATTTTTCTCTCTATGTGTTGCTCTACTTGCCTCCTTAGATATGCTTGGCTGCAAACAAGAATATTCAGATTAATCATTCTGGCAATTTGTCTCACCCTGTCCTAGATGTATTCTAAAACATTTTAACATACTTTTAGTTGCCCATGGAAAAAAGTCATCATGGTATTCAGAGTACTACAAACTTGTGTACTATGTGCTCATACCTGTACTATGGCACAAATGCTCAATAGCTGCAAATTGTAATCACAACTTTGACTTCATTAGTGTGATGATCTACATATAAATATCCATAAGCAAAATTAGATAGGCCATCTGGAAATTTCCTCAATTTTAAATTACTGGGGTTGCAGTATTGCAAGTGATTTATTTCTTTAGGGAGGAAATGATAACTTGAAGAAACAACATCACACTGATGTTTGCATGTGTGTAACTTTATATCTATAGGAAAACCAATTTAAGGACTGATGGAGTGGGTGTAATGGGCAAAGCAACCCAACCCATGGGAGTGGCAGAGTGAAATTCATTTCCTACAATCCCATAATAGCACTTTGCCTTTGATCAAAATGCCACGCTCTTATAGGAACCTCAGTTGTGGGTGGCTTTCAAAGCCACATTAAAGTGACCTGGTTTCAGTAAGGTGCGTAAGCCCATGGGTTATTCAGCGCTGTCTAGTCCCTTTGGACTCAGTGAAATGACTCAGAAGCTTACAGTTATTGACATGTTTAAATAGATTTCTGAACTGAGCCTCTTATGAGAATACTTCTGCACAAAAGAAAAGTGAGCATGTTAAATCTCCTTTCAAAGGTTGTAAGAGCCCCTCTTTTTTAATAGGATGAGAGAACCCTCATCTTCAGAGAGATCCTTGTTTTAGCATGTTCAAGATTTAGGCATTTGGTATGAATTATGTCATTTAGACTTAATTGTATCGCTGGAACTGAAACCATCTTTTAAAATAATGTTACGAAGTAATCATATATTGGAAACAATTAAAGACTGATGTAAAAAACAGACTTAAGGCAGAAGTTCACATAGTGGATTATTCTCCTTAGCTGTCCTTTTTTTTTTTTTCTTTGTAAATATATATATATTTAAGTTTATAATTTTCTTACAAAGGCAACAGAAAGGCTTTTGTGTATGAACTTACCTTTTGAGGATATATAGAACATATCAGCAAAACCAAAGGTGTTATTGCTCTTACCCCCCCTCCCCAAATTCATATATGCTAGGGAGTTGCCAGTAGTCTCCCAGTGAGTATCTTCTGAGTGATATGCATTAGTGACAACTCATTTTTTGTTGGGGTCGGTGTGCACACCACTGCATGCATTAAAGGTATTGAATGGTGGCTGTAAAGGACAAAGTGCTCCCGGTCACTGACTTCTGAGACACGTAAAATATATTCTGTGGCCACAATTCCACCCTCATGCAGATGACTGAGCTTCTGCTTTTGTACTACAGACAAGATCAAACACCATCTCAGAGAAATTCTCTCATAATACTCTCTAACACCTTTGGGATTTATGTCTTAAATAATGTTTTTATATCTACTTTGCACAGGAATAGTTTCATGGAGGCAATGTCAGTGCCAGCAAGGTACTTTGGACACACTACCTATGCTGAAACCTTGACTTTTCCTAGGCAATTAAGTTGGGCAGTCATGTGGCTGCAGTCTTATCTGTAACTGCCTAGTCTTTGTACTCAAAAACTGCTTTGAGCATGCAGCACAATTTTGCTCTGTGTAACTATTCATGTTTGCATAAAATTGTTTTTTGGCAATATATTCCACTGCTTGTAGCAGGTTTTCCAATGACCATTGAAAAGAAGATGATTGTATCATGTTTATTGATAACCATATTTAGCATTATGTAGATATGGATAGGAACCTTCATCTGTTAGGTCCATGAGCCTTAAGTTAAAATTCAAATTGTAGATGAGGTCTATGTAATCCAAACTTCATAATACAAATTTGATTTTTAGAGCAAAGTAGTTTACTGAGTTTAAAAAAAAAAAACTTTGTAGTTTTCATAATTAGCAAAATATGCAGTAATGTGGCTACATCTAATGACAACACTGCATTCCCTGGAAACCCTAAGATTTTTTGAGAATGATAGAATAAACCTAGATGTTTTGTTTGTTGCAGATTTCATAAATGCGAAAGTCAAAACTGACCTGAAATCATTTAAGCTATCTTCTAGTATAGGCTAGAAAATTTCAACCACTTGATCCATGAAATCGGCATCAAGGGATGGAGAAACAAAATTTCCCTTTGTGGTTATCTCTAAACAATATATTTTCCATCTCCATTTTCCATCTCTGTGTAAAAAAAAGAACAAAAAAGGAAGTGCTGTTTCTAGTTTGGACATAACAGGTTTTAACTTCCATCCCTTTGTTCTCACAGGGCTTTTTCACTAAATGTTAACAAACCCTTACAGAGTTTGGTTTTGTGACTAGGAATGTATTAATAGATAGATTCATGGAGTCACCTTCAGATGTCTGTTTGGTGAGTTATGACCTCATTGTGTCTCTTGGTGGAAGTGATGTTTGGTTCTCTATCCAGGGGTGTCAACATCAAACATTGGAGGAACCCAACAGTCATTCCAAAGAGAGGCAATGCCAGTGCTGAATTAGACCCTGTGCATGCAAACATGTTATTCCAGAGATGAGCACAGATTAGGATTCTGTACTTTGTAGCTCAAGCAGTATTTTAAATCAGTGGAAACTGGCACCAGCACAGATTCAGTGCTGTCCCTCTCCTTCCTTGTTCTGGCACCAGTGCAGGGTGGCCTGGATCAGAATGGGTCCAGCTGAGAGCTAACCCAATTAATAAAAGAAATGGAAAGAAAGAGGCCAAGCAGCATTAATTCCTTCCGCAGATCAGTTCTCTCCGTATGTTTTACAATGTGGGTGTCCAAATTTTTGTACTGATGGAGTGTGGTGCACAACATGGGAAAAAGCAAGCCGGTGGAGGGAGACTGGATGATTTTTGGAGTCAGCACAAGGTTACACCTCCTTGACAGGGTTTGTCAAACCTTTTAGAACATAATTCACTGAATTATACTGTGTGGGATTCCGGGCCCCACAATTTAAAAAGGATGTGAAGGTCCTTGAGTGCATCCAGAGGAGAGCAACAAAGCTGGTGCCAGGGCTGGAAGGGATGTCCTGTGAGGAGCAGCTGAGGATCTTGGGCTTGTCTAGTTTGAAGAGAAAGGCTTAGGGGTGACCTCGCTGCTCTCTCCAGCTTCTTGAGAAGGGGAAAAGGAAAGGGAAATGCTGAGCTCTTCTCCCTTGGATCCAGTGACAGGATACATGAGAATGGTTCTGCAATGGGAATGGAAGCTGTGCCAGGGGAGATTTAGACTTGACATTAGGAAGTGTTTTTTATGGAGAGGGTGGCCAAACACTGGAACAAGCTTCCTGGACAGTTGATTGATGCCCCAAGCCTGTCAGTGTTTAAGAGTCATTTGGGCAATGCCCTAAACAACATGCTTTAACTTTTGGTCATCCCTGAATTGATCAGGCAGTTCAACTAGATGATCTTTGTGGGTCTCCTCTACCTGAAATAGTTTATTCTGTTTTTAAGCATTTTGAACCAGCTTTGTCACTGGTGTTTTCCAGGTTTGTTACAGAGCGAGGAGCAAAACAGAGCTAGAAGTTAAAGCTAGGGTGAACTGGCAGCTCTTAATTTGCTATCTGTGCCCAGCTGATTACCTTACTATTCTAGCTTGTTTGTTTTTTTTTTTCTTTTCATTTAAAGATCAACTGGAATAACTCACCTGACCAATGTTATCGAGAAAAGTCAGATCCTGGGAACAGGGGAAGCACAGAAGAAGGGAAAGCATCTGCAGAGACCAATTTTTACTTGGAGGAGTTAGAGAAATACACTTTTTCTGTGTGGTAAGTAATCTCAGCATCAAATAGTTTCACAACCAAAAAGTATGCCTTGTTATTCCTGTGTTATAGAGGTATCTACATTCAGGTGAATGTTGTTAGGCTGCAAAATCCAACACAGATACAATTACCACTGCTATGTCAGTGTGTCCCCTTTGTGTGTGCATGTTATGGTTATGACATCATCTGCTATTTCTTCACAGAGCTCATTTCTCTGGGTGTGTGCTATTTATTTGAGTAAATATGAAGGATTTTGTTTTCTGCTTTTTGGTCACTGTGGCCACTAGCCTTATTTACAACATGCAGACCCTGCCCGGAGTTCAGAATTACTGATATTCTTGTATTTTCCTTCACATTAGAACTTTGTCAATAAGAGTTACTTTTTCTTTGTAAGATCACTGTGAAGTAAGAAAAGGGTGTTGTTTTACCTTCACAGATAGGGACATGAGGTAAGATATTTCTAGCACTTGTAAGTAACCAAAAATGTGGGGTTTCTTTGACTCCTTAGTGTTATTTATGATTGAAGTTGATTTGAAAAAAATTTGGAAACGTTGTTTGCCTGACAATGCAATTTTGACATGCCTGTATTGCTTTGAGAAGTTGTACCAGGGGGTGAAATGAAAGAGGATTTCTAGTAAAATCTTTTCAGCATTTTAAGAGCAGTACACTACCTTTCTTAGATGTCGCTTTAAATACAACTTTTCCCTGTTTTAAAATACACATACAAGGAATGACTTGGTAAAGTGAAATTCAAAGTCTGTATCAAAATCAAATCTTTTAATGTACATATAAATAATTATTTTTCTGGGATTTCAACGTTTAGGTAATTACAAAAGTTGAGCAGTTACTTGTAATTAGTAGAAAACAATGAAGACCCAATCCTTCATCTAATAAAATGATCTGAGTCTTTTACACAGCTCTGTATTTTGTTTCGTATGTTTAAACCCCAGCTGCAATGTACATCTCTGGCACCTATGGGCTTCTGCAAATCAGCACCTAGAGTTTCAAATAAAGCATCCAGAAAATGAGCATTAGAATAGGGTGGATGTCTGGGAAAATGTAGTTTTAAATTACTTCCTTGTCAAAACATTTGAAAGGGGGATTATCTAATCAGGCAAGCCAAGCAGCCTTCAGCATCACTAGTCCTGTCATTCCCTGCTCTCACTTGCCACATTCGCTTGGTGCCTTTAAAGTTTGGCAGAAAGTTATGTAAAGATCGTACAAACGCAAAGTGTATTTTCACTATAGAAATCTGAACTTGACCCTAGGGGTGGTCAGCCCTGAGTGTTGCAAGAGGCAGCAACTGAGTGGAGAAATAACACACAATCATATAATTAGACTGCCATAATTCTGCCAAATTCATCATGGTTATTTTTGACAATTATGGACTCCCTCATCCTGGCCATAACTAAAGAACAGTTTTTCGAGTTGCAACATGCATTCCAATATCCTTGCTTACTCCCACTGTTGTTTGTTTTTTTTTTTTTTACCTACTTCAATTTTCAAATTAAATTAACCAAATTTTCATTAGCCTTTTCTATCTCAAGGAGCTTGCTTTCTGTGTTGGTGAACTTCACTGTCTCTTCCCTGTCTTGCAGAGTTACAGTGATAGAATAAATGTTTAAAGTCAGCAGCACCAATCCTTTGTTATTTTCAAAGTTGTTCATATTTAAAGTGTTGGGAAAGGTGACCAAGCCCATCCTTCCTTAGCACTAAAGCACTTTGGGAGTGAATACTGGTTTCTGGTTGTTGTACCTGCAGCAGCCTGGCCCCAGACTTTGAAGCTGGTGGCCTTTGGTGTCCAAAGGAGCAGAAGGAACTGGCTTTTTTCTAAGGTGGCATGCACCTCACTGTCTGGTTTGGTGACCAAGAAAAACAGATGGTTCTTTCTTCTGTCTGCTTTTCCTTTACTGTTCTTTGTCCATTCTTAGGAAGCCCAGTTGACTTTGGAGCCCCATGCCTGTTGGGAAACTAGCTTTGCTGGGGTTTCCTGGGGAGATAGAGGTATGTTTGAGCACAATAAGTTACAGGGCATGAGCCATGTATTCCTGGTATGAAACAAAGGCTACAAGACACACTTCATGGTGACTGTGCTGCCTGTCCTTCTGTGAAGGCAGCTGGGGCTAGTATTTTATTTTAAAATGCTGCTCTATTTACTGTCTCTGTCATCCTGTCTGAAAGAAGGACCAGCGTTTGCTTTATTTACGTACTTATTATGCGAAAATCCCATGAGGTGAAAACATAACAAGATTTCTTTGCTTTCTGCTCTGCTTCTTGTATATTGACATATTTATCAGAAAGAAAAAAATAGGAAAACAAATTATTCCACTCTTGGTCAAGTAATGCAGGTATTACAGTTAGCATGCCATGTAAAGTTCGTGTCCTTAATATTTTTTTTAAACTTAGAGTTAATTCAGTTTGCCTATGTGATTGCAGGAGTATTCGATATCTTACGAGCTGTTAGTTCCGTCTGTTACTATGCCAGCATGATGTTTCAGTTACTCACTTCTGTCTGTCTCTTCTCCTTTCCTTCTCCCCTACTTTCTCCATCAAAGGGCATCAACTCCTCTTTGTCTGTTTCCAGACCTTCCTCTCTACTAGGATTGTTAGCTTTTAAAAAATGCAATGCAAGATAATTAGCTACTACAAAAATTTTTAATAGGACTGTAGATCTGGGGGCAGCTTAGATATCTATAAACTTCAGCGTTTTAGATGCTCCAAGATGCAGTCTGAGCAATTTCCTTGATCTTTTATTGCAACTGGTAAATCATTTATTGGGCTAGGTTATTTTACAAAATCCTCTTTAAAAACAAAATCCCATAAAATGTATTTATCATAAAATACTGCACAACCAACAGTCTTCAAAGCTGTACATGCCCTGTATTAATTAAAAGCTAGTGTTGTACTGTAATAAAAGTATCCACTCTGTCTCAGTCTGTCTCTTCACACCCCCCCCCCCCCCCCCAAATCTCTCCCTGTATATTTTTTTCCTCTCTTCTTTCCTCTCTCTCATCTTCTCTTTTCTTATAGGGCTTGCCAAAGGGGAGATCAGCTAGTATGAGAAAAATAATCTTTTGTGATCACAAATATTTTTCTGATAATTGTATATTTTTCTTTTTGTTTCCATTGCGTTAGCATGCTTGTCCTTTACCATTCATATTAATTTGACAGTGGTGTCTCACGTCCGTAGGCCATAGTCAAACCTCCTTACAGTGGGCATTACACCCACATGTAATACAAAGATCATTCTGGCTGCAGAAGCCCGTAGCCTTCAGCTTCGATCTTGCAGCTTGCACAGAGTGACTTTTCCACTGTGCTTGCGTACAGCGTTGCTGAAAGCAGCAGCTTTTGCTTAGGTCTGGTGAACTGGTGGTGAGGGGGATGAGTCCAAAACATAAGACTAAGAGAAGAGGTTAAGACAGCAGACAAACCTGGTCACATATTACAGGGAGGTGCATGCCATTGAAGTAGTTGGCCATGTTCATGGCCCTGTAGCTGCTAAGTGGTCACTAACTGCTTTCCAGACCTTCCTGGAGAGCTGGCCCCAAGACCTTGCCTCACACCATGGTGTCTCTTTCTCTCAGAAAGCTGTGTTTCCAAAGATAAAAGCCCATGTAACTTGCAGCAGGACATGAATATTTTTAGTGGTTATTGTCTAAATAAGACAGGTAAACTCTATACTCTTGACAGAGAAAATGTTTGGGGGAATTTTGACTATTTCAGTGCAAAACCTGCTGTCAGAAACTTTCTAGCTCTGTTCTTGTGTTTTCTGAAACAAGAGAATTTGAGGAAGAAATATTTTTCATAGTTTTTTTTGTCACTATAGTACCATATTTTCTGAAAGTGCATAATGAATACAGATCTGGGGCATAATTTCAGCGCTTCAGCACTTTAACACTGCTTTTTATGCCTAGTTTTAGGAGAGAGAGGAAACAGATCCCAGATTTCAAAATCTGTCTTCCTACAAAAAAGAAAAAAAAAAAAGAAAAAAAAGAAAAAAACCAAAAGAAAGCATAAACACTTTCTGTGTCTCTAGAAATATTCAGGCTTGAGTTTAAATATAAATAATGAACTAGCAGTTTCAATCACCAGCAACTTATCATCAAACACAGCTCTTAAGGGTTAATATTACACACTAATATAAAAGTAACGATCATCCTTTGTCTCCATGCAATTAGCTTTTTAACAACGTGCCTGTAGCTCGTACCCAGGCTAAATGCTGCTTTGAAATATTTTCTCCTGCACTCCAAAAGTGTTAAGCTGACTCTGGCAGCTTCTGTAAAAATAATTTATTGTAGGGTGCTGCCTTTTGTAGTGAAATACCCAGTGACCCACACAGCAATGCTGCACGTGGCCCATGGTAGCATGGCTTCAGGCTTGTCTGTGCATCATCTTAAGACAGAAGATGAACCAGTGTCCCTCTTCACACGGGCCCCAGTAAGAACCCAATCCTATCATCTCTATTTATATGTTTACACCTCTGGAATCTGGGGTTGGGGGGAAGGACCAGGCCTTACTTCTCACTTGCAGAAGTCAGGAGCAGATGAACCCCCTGTCCAAGACAGGTGGCAAAGGGAGAGTGGAGAATAAAAAATGCTCTTGGCAGCATATGCCAACCTGGGTAGGGCGGATGGGGTTGAAGACCCATTTGCAGCCCTGCCTCTGAACCTGTAAACTTTATAGTTTTACCTGCTGATTTCCACCCCTACCCCCACCACCACCCCAAATGGATTAGGAAACTGAGAGCAGGAAGAGTTAACTGTAAACAGCACAATTTAGTAAACTTGTTTTTTAATAAAAGCAATAAACTTTCCTTTTATAATACACATGTGATTTGACATTGAAATAAATGCAGATGCTTCTTTGCTTGGTGTATTCCCTGTTGTGCTTTCTAAAACACCTTCACATATGGTTTGCCTCACTCCTGTGAAACTATTTGTTGTTTATGTCATACAAAGAGAACAGATTGAATTTACACTGAGTAAGAAGGGCAATGGAGGAAAATT